GACTGCGACGGCGACGCCGACTGCAACTGCGGCAGGTGGTTAAAATGGGAGGCAGCAACGGCACTTCATATCAAATTAATTAGTTGGCTTTCTGATTAACTTACCGCTAAATAGCTTAAGGTATGCTTCCATTTAATTTGGTGCAATAAGTTTTCTTATTATTAAAATATATAATTCTCCAACTATTTATATTGCGGGCAATCAAAGAATTTATTTGGATTGTGGAAAACTTTAAGCACGCAAAGTTATGATGGTCAGTGATAAACATGAAATGCAGCTAATAAATTAAATGCAATTACAAGTATTTCTAATTTTAATTAGTCCGAAAGCTAAAATACAGAATTAAGTTGAAGGATGGGGGCAAATATATATAAATATATTATTATAATTTTTTTATGAGTTTTTTTTTATACTACGATTTTTATTCAATTATTAATGCTGCAGCCTGTTAGCTTAGAGGCTATAAAGAAAATATTGAATTCTAGGGAGCCTGAGCTAAATTATGTCCTTTCAGTTATGTCATCAGAGCAAGGAAAAAACCATCATATTTTGACTATGATTTAGACTTTATAATCTTAGAAAAATTATGACATCGAATACGAATAATGAATATAGAGTAAAATTTAGTTAAATATTTAGATAACCTTCATACATATTAGACTTCTTGTTTCATTGCTAACAATATAATATATAATAAACAATATTCAACATTAACACACAAACTGTGCTATTTTTATACGGAATGCCGAATCGATTATTTTATAGTCCCCAATGAAATATATAATACAAGTTTATCAGCAAACTGAAAAAAACTCATACTATAGTAGTTTCATAATTCGATTTATGCCTACGTGCACAACAATGTTTAGTTCTTGGTAAATCATAAAAATACTTCAACATTGGCATAAGCAGTGCTTGATTAGCGTTCTCCTCAGCAATCCGCTCGCTGGTTATTATCGGAGCAGTCAGCTGTAGCGAGCAGCGTAAATATATGAAAAATGATATCTGCTTAAGCTGCCTATCCATCAGATTTAAGTGCAAGTCAGAAGTTGATGTCGGGCTTATCGGGCTCTGACGTCGACTGCAGAGTCAGGCAGAGTCAGCGCAGCGCTCTGCACGCATCATTCGCCATTCGATGCGCTTGTCAATAACTTTTTAACGAATTTTTAAGAAGCCGCGTTGCGTATACGCCATGGGGAACGCGAACGAAAAAAAAAACACACTCATGTATATGCATACGACAGCGTGTGTGTGTCTGTGTGTGTGTGTGTGTGTGTGTATGCCTACTGCTCAGCATCATAATCAAATTAAAGCATAATTTTTTACGACGTCATAGTCATAAATATGAACGATGCGAAATTGTGCACAACATGGAAAAGAGCAAAGGAGCCAGGACGCCCGGTCCTTGAGCAAGTGATTTCCCATTTGCGCTAAGCCGGAACTGGTCTGGGCGTGAAAAAAAAAGCAAGAAAATAAAATAAAATAAAATCAAATGTATAAATCATTTATGCCATGCTTTAAAATTGAATAAGCATTCGTCAGCAATAAATCGCAGTCGCAGTCGCAGCTGCCCGAGCAGCAGTCAGCAAGGAGCTGTGCTTCAGGTCATGTCCTGGACCTGGACCTGGCTCTGACTCTGACTCTGGCTCTGGCTATGGACCTGGACCTGGACCTGTGTGTGGCCGAGCGCTCGCTGCTTGGGTCACATTTGCGTGTCCGCCGCCTTTGGGAAATTGCTACAATTTGTTTCATATTTCATGTGCCGTCGCTCTGTGCGAAAATTTACCACTTTGCGGTTTTTCGCCAATGCCAAAAGGAGCCAAAAAAAAAAAAAAAAGTTTTATTTGAATTATTATTGGCGCGCGTTGGCACTGTGGCAAAGCCAGCTGGAAATATCACAAAGCAAATGCCTGATTTGCATATAGAATGCAATACCAAATGCCATTTTCATTTCTTTTTTCCTTTCTTTTTTTTTTTGTGGCTCTATGGCTTATAAATTGCACTGGCGATGTATACTTTTTGGGGCGTGGCAATTAAGAGGCGTGGCGTTTGGCTGAAATATTGCATACTATTTGGCTTGCATAGCTATTAGCACATATATTATGCGTATCAGTGAGAGAGATATATATTTATAATTAATTATATGTGGCAATATAGAAAGCCCAAAGTTTTGATTAGATTTTAGACCTCTATTTTTCAAGCTGCTTTCCAGTTATTGTCATTTGAACAGTAGATCTAAAAATTATGCGGAAATCTCTATTGACAACACTTATGCACATGATATATATATATATATGTGTGTGTGTGTGGGATTGGCACAGATTTGCGGCCCTGACACGGCACTGAGCAAGCATTGTCCAAGCTTCATTTGGCCAGCCAATAATAATAATAATAACGGCAGGGACTGCTCATGAAGCTGGATGGCTTTAATGGATGAGGCATAATAATATCACATTGATTTAATAGTTTAAATAATAATCTCTATTGACATTAAATCCATATGATTTATATGTATATTGTCAGCACATAAGTTATATTACAAGTACTTCGCAGCCTGATAAAAGTCCAAATAAAACCTTTTTCTTTGAAATCATAATGTTCTTTGTGTAGTTATTTGAGTTTTATAATTTTTGTAGGTTTCATTTAGCTGTAACTCTAAAAATACGACCAAAAATCCAAAATTTAGCAATCTCATCAAGTGTCCAATTATAATTTAAACTGTTATAAAGTACTTTAAGCTCTTATCGTTTTATGACCATACTCACTTTCTACGCTTCAAGCACGACGAAGAACGAAACCTATTTCACAAAGTAGCAAAATTTTGAAAAGGAAATAGTTTGGAACCTCATATATA